TTTTTAAACATAAGTTGCTAACTATGATGAAAATGCTTTATATTCCCCCCCATATCCATCTCCCCTTCTTCCAGCAACAGCTCTAATTTTGTTGGGGATCCATCTTTCCCACATTCTCCATGTAGAGTGGGTGCTAGTTCCAAATTTAAGCCAATCAGTAAATGGCATTTCCTGGGCCAAGTAATTATGTCAGAGGAGAACACGTGACCAAAGCCAGTGCAATCAGAGTGACCCAAAGAATCTCTGCTAAGAATCCTAGGATGAGGATTCTCAACCAACCCCAACCCCACTGGACTGAATATGAGATGTAGGGATAAAACTGCTGCAGCCATCTTTTAACCACATGGGAACTAAGCACAAAATAATTCTGCTTAGGGCCAGGGATTTAGCTCAGTGGTTTCGCTGCCTGCTGCGCAAGTGCAAAGACCTGAGTTCGATCCCTGGTACCAAAAATAAATAAATAAATAATTCTCTGCTTAAAGGACCCAAGGTAAGGGGACAAAGTCTGGGTTCTGAATCAAGCCACACCTGGTATACCCACAGACTATTCAGATAAAGAGCCTTAAGGAAACATTACATCTGATTCTTCACTCCTAACCCTCTTTTTGAAGAATTCCTTTGCCAATGAGAGGTTACATCAGAACTGGAAGCACAACCAGCCAATTCTCAGGATTCACCTAATCATCTACTAATTTAACAAACATTTACTGTGTATCAAGTTTGTGCCATCAGTGGTTTTCAAGACAGTTCCTGGCCTCAAGAACTCTCAAATGGGCAAGACAAACTCATAGACTGGCAGTTTTATAATACGATGATAACTATAATAGAGGAAGCAGTAGGGGCTGTGGACTCATAGCTCTAACCCAGTGAGGAGGGGGATCAAAGAAGTCTTCCCATGGGGCATCAAAAGCACAGTACCCTCTTACATTGAGATACAACATATCCTTCACACATTCATCTTGACAGTCCTTAAAGCAACCCTGTGGCAGAGGCCAGCCAGAGATCACCATTCCCACTCTGTAGAGAAAGAGGTAGAGACCAAGAGCTCAGGACCATGCAGCCACTGGGGCTAAGCAGGGAGTGAGGAGAACCAAAGCTCACGTTACCCCGATCCATCTTGTCACAAGGCCTTTCAGAAACAATGATTTACCAAGAGCCCAAAGGTAGCATCAAAAGGACCAAGACCAGTCACCTGAGCCCAGATGTCTAGAATAACTCAGGAAGGTGTGGTATGGAATCAGAGGCTGGGCACTCACCCATTGGCCAGGGACAGGGTCCCAGGTACCCACTGCCACAATAGCAACCCTCCTGGATGTATTGTAGGCCCAGGCCAATCTCCCAGTGTAGCTTCACCATCTCTGGGGTCACTGGCAGGAAAAGTCCCAAATGTTTCATACCCAAACCCCAGCAGAACTTTGACCAGTGGTGCAGAGGGGAAGGAAAGTGTGAAAAACAGCCAGCACACAGCTGGCACAGAGCAAGGGCGCCCAGGAGGCAGATGGAATGATGGGATCCTCTCTTGCTTTGGTGTACCCTCACATGACAAAGAACAAGAGAAAATAAAAGCAATTCAAAAAGATTAAGAGCACAGACTCAGGGAGTCCTGCATATGAATGCACTTACTAAACTGTGGCATGTGCTCTTAAATAATACTAATGGCAGCAAATGAGAATAGCCCCTAAGGATTGCTGAAACTCATTTCTGTATCTGTAAAACAGAGATAATACCTGCCTCCTAGAGTGCACGGGGAGTTCAGAGAGATGTAGATATTGAATTATCAGTAGTAGTAGTTATATAAATAGCAGTATCTTTTGATGATTCCTACTATTCCCACACAGAGATGGCCACTCCATGCCCATTCCCAAACATAGCTACAGAATAAAACTGGGGCACACTGACTGAAGATGTTAAAGAGTCTGGGGTCTACAATGATGCCTTTACACAAGAACAAAACATGAGGGCAATAGGTGTAATTTCACAAGAGCAACTATGGAATTCATACAGCTCCACAGCCTGTGACTGGAAAACTGTGGCCTCACTCCTTGCCCTAATGGTCTGCATGCAGCCAAGTGAGGGCCACTCCCACCAGGGGTCAGAGGCTAGAGCTCAAAACCCTAATTTTCTCTGCCTATGAGGGAGCTCCAGGCTGCTTGAAAGGGGCCTCCCAGCCCTCTCAGGACACTGAGCCTTATGCTCCCCACCCCAACCATAGGACAATGTGGCATAAGGGTCCCCTCAAGTGTTCCCAACCCTGTAGCCCTACATTTCATCAGGCCAATGGGTTAGTCCCAGACTTGGTTTCCCACATGAGGCCTTCAGAAGCCTCTTCTTTCTCTTTTGAGTCTCAAAAGCAGGCCCGGCTGCCCTTGGTGTCAACCTCACAGAGGGCTCCTCCTGAGGGTGGTCATAGCTAGGTGACTCCAGTGGCCAGGGAAGAGAGAATTCAGGTCAGCCTGGTTCCAACCAGACACAAAGAGCTCAGTTAATGGGCCCCAGAGTGGGCCCTACAGACAATAACTGCAACTCACATATCACAGGTCATGGGCCCTGAAGAGCAGGCTAGAGCCTCCATGGCCCAGTAGAGCTTAGCAGGGGATTGGGCCCCTCTCTCTCCTCACACTTTCCCAAGAATAAGCAGGTACAGACTGCCTCCTGAAATACCACCACCACCCTTCTGAGCCCACCTCTAGTCTCTCTCTGTGAGGCAATCTGAGCAACCTGGGTGGAAACTCCCCACCTCACATCTCATGAAAAGGCCTGTTCCCTTGCAAGGGTGGTCCTGTTGGGTCTGTTTACCATCTTCTCATACTGAGCACCAAATGATGACATAGGGCCACATCCTTCAGGAGCAGTACTGTGGTTTGCAGCAGCACCAACCATCCCAACAGCATCACAGTATCTCCCACGAAGGCCTCCTGACAATCACTATGCCAGGTGAGTCTCATTTTTAGCAATTCTACGAGGAAAGCATTATATTTTCCATTGCACAGATGGATACGTGGAGGAATCAATCAAGATATCCTTCCCCCAAGTATACAAATACCAAGTGCAGCACTGACATATTAATCCAGGATTGTCTGTGCAGGAAGAACCTTGACTTTGGGAGTGCCTATCTGCTCTATTATTTGTTCAACATTTTTCTTTAGATACCTTTAATGATTGTAATAAATTAATTCCAATAGAGTACTTATTACATCCCAAGAACTTTCTAGATGCTTCCTGTGCATTGACTCACTAAATTCTCACAAGAACCTAGCAGGTAGCATCTATTATCCCCAAATTATACAGGGAGCAGCAAGCACAGGGTCTCACATTCCAGGGGTAGCAGATCCAGGAGACTCTGCTGCCACCTGAAGACCCAGGGTCTCATTCTTGGTTCTGGTACCTAAGAAAACACAGGTCTCTAATATACATCAAACACGCCATGACTATTGACTTCAAATAAAGTCCCTCAGGGGGTTTCATGCAGTCACTGTGTGTGCTACTGGCCCCACACAGACCATGCTCTGGGGAAACCTGGCCTAGGGGAAGAGAGGCCAAAATAAAAGAAGGGGCCCTGAGAGGACTGGAGCCATCACAGCTCCCTGTCACCCTACACTGGGTGGATGACTACCTGAGGCTGGGGGATTCAGGGCAGTCTGGAAGAGAGAAAGTAGTGGAGAAGCAAAGACAATGGGGCTTGGCCCACAACTCTGAGGAATGAGGAATCGAGGCGTTACACCTCCACATAGGGGCATGTTCTCCCCGATGCCAGGCCTTGAGGGAGGTTTTCCATGCAGAAGCCAAGTATAGGAAAGGGAGAGGACAGAGGCCACAGGGTCAGGCCTCACCCTGCCTCTCTCAAAGGAGGTTCTGCCACCACATGCCTCCTCTCCTGCCACTTTCCCCTTCCCTCTAGCTGTTGCCATGGTAAATCAAAAACTGTTTTTCTTTTTCTCAAAGGTCAGCTAAAATGAACCACCCATCCTTTGTTCAAGTATTTTTCAAACCTTAAGGACCAGTCACCATGTCCCCCAAGAAAACTCCTCTACTTCCTCAGCTGAGACATGGATGTCTCCTCACAAATGAGAGCCCCACCCACACACATCCTTCACCAGCACTAACATGGCAACATCAATGGATTCATTTCATGAAATCAAGAAATGGGAGACTTGGCCCGGGGATTTAGCTCAGTGGTTTCGCTGCCTGCTGCGCAAGCACAAGGATCCAAGTTCAATCCCTAGTACCAAAAAAAAAAAAAAAGAAAGAAAGCAATGGGAGACTTTGCTAGAGGTCTCTGCTTTTCCTTCCTCCTTCAGTTTTCTGGCTCAGAAGTCACACCAGGTAGCCTCTCAAGTCATTTCTTGGATAGCAGATCACTCCCAGATGATATGTATTCCCAAGCTATCCCTAGAGAAGACTAAAAGCCTGCTGCAAAGTAGAATATACTTAAGTGGAGGGGTGGGGGCTTTCTGGGGCAGAAGACATTTTATATAAAGCTCTATGTTGCTTCTTAACCAGTGTCCCCGTGTGTCACATTTTTCCTGGGATTCAACAACCACTTGGCCCAGCATTTAACACAGCAGTTCTCAAACTTGGTTTTCCCCAACAAATCTTTGAAGTAGCCATGGACTCTAGACTGAACGCTCCCCAACCACTCATCTAGTGGAAGAATCAATGTGCTTTGGCCATATGTGCCCAAGCCACACCCTTTCTAAAGATTCACAGCTTTGTTGATGATGCCTCAAATTAGGAAATGCTCAAAACTGGCATCTCATTTCAACTTCAGCAGCACTGCATCTTCCCCTTCACATGCCTCTGCAGCTTCTCTCCCCTCCTCCCTGCTCCACCTTACTTTGTCTCCTCCTCACTGGGTAACCACATATCAAGTGACAACCACAGCATGGACAAAGGACTTCTAACCAGCTGCTTCTCAGGTGCAAGTCAGCCAAAATGTTGCCTACTTATAAGACAGGAATCAACAACATAGGTTAGGCCTGGGTTGCATGTTTGATCCCTACCTGTGGGAGCAGAATCAGCAAGCTGGGCAGCAGCAGGGTGAGGTATCAACTTCCTGGTGAAGAACCTGAATAAACCAGGAGGAAGTCACTGTCAACATAAGAATAACTTCAGTTCAGTCACTTTACCTTAGGACGAGGGTCTCAGCATCTATGGGGAAGGAATTGATGCCACATTTTTCCCTGTGCCCCAGACTCAGCCCAAAAGGAGGTCTGCTCAGCTGAATTTGGACAGTGAAAAGTCACATTCTGATCAGCTCTCCTCTCTCAACACCAAATGCCATCCTGCACATCCCTGGGCACTGAAGGAAAACACCCAGGGCAGATCCTTTGGCCAAACCCCAAGTCTCCAGGGAAAAGTTTGCAGAAGTGGGTTCAGTACTTAGCATCCAGGTCTTTACTAAAGTGACTAAAGGTCCATGCTCTGAAGCTGGACTGCCTGAGGTCTGAACCAGCCCCACCACCCTGCCTGTGTGACCCTGAACAAAATACAATTACCCACACTTGCAACATGTAGGCGATAATTTTGACTTCATAGTCTGATTGCGAGGGCTAAACAAATTAATATTGTAAAATACCTGGAACAATTTCTGTTACGTTCATAGGCACTGTTATTATTTCCACTAGGCCTCAGAGCACAACCCCTAATACAAACAACTTCTAAATTATCAGTGTCAAATCCTAACTTCTGCCCCAGAGACACACAGGCTGGAGAATGACAGAAGGAACTGTGAGTGTTCACATGTCTGTTCATTTAAAAACACAGTTGACCTAAATTTGCTTCCCTCTCTGCCCTGCACACCATTACCCTCTCCCTCTCACCCTCATTCCAGCGCTTCACACAGTTCTAGGCACACATCAGATGTCCTGATGTTTGCTAAATTGATCCAATGAGATAGCAGGTCCTTCCCTGCCTCATCCCCAAAGCTATGAACTTCCTCTGAGTGTTACTTTATTTCTGTTCCCTGGAAAGTGGTGCACCAGTGTTTGTAATGTTCCCCTATCTCAGGAAGCCCTTAAAAATACTAAGCATAACCATTGACGAAATAAAATTTTAGGAACCAAGATAATGATCATGACCAAAGCGATGGGACAAACACAAGTTGTCCTTTCTTCACTTGGAGAAGTCACAAAGACATTCTCCTTGAAGGAGAAACATATTTAGGAAGTGCATCTGAAGCCCCAGGACCCAACTTGCAGCATCACACACGCCCTCTGTAAGCCTATCACCTGCCAAATCATGCCAGAGGCATGGGGCTGTGGGCTGGGTATGCAGGTGCCATCCCGGAACTGCTTCCCCAACCAGAGACACACAGGTTGGAGAATGCCAGAAGGAACTACGAGTGCCCACATGTCTTTACCCTGCAGTAGTAACAGAGCCTGTCAGTGTCAAGGCCCCACATTTGTATAGGCAGGCACCTGAGTGTTTACATAAAGCTTGCAAGCCCTCCTTGCCTTATGCAAGATGCAACACCAGCCCAGTTTCCACTGTATAAAAATTCTTAGGGCTAGACCACAGGGACACAACCTCTCTCCCCTAACAAGGATGCCCCAAGGAGTTGCACAGCCTCTGGTTTGGGGGAGCCTCTGGTAAAGCAGCTGGAAGACCACTGCCCTTAACAAGGGGTCTCTTCCCTTTCCCAAGTGGCTTTACAAGGGCTTCTGCCACTGATGAGCATTCGAGTGCCAGCAAATACGTGTGGAGAGAAAAAGAAGCTGCACTGGACTCCCCCAGAGCCACAGACTAACTTTTAGACCAGTATGAGCCTAGCATGTCAGGAAAGTAAAAGTGTGGGCTCAGGCTCTAAGAAGCATCCTTAATGATACGAACTTGACCTTAGCCCTGCTGAACTCTCAGACCACATGATACCTTCTGCAAAGTGCCATTTAAGTATGTTAAAGTGAGAAATTACAACTAGTAGAACTCAAGTCTTTACCATTTTATTCAAAAATGTTTACTTCATGTTTCCCTATTAAATATAAGCAACTTCCCCCTTGTATATATTTGCACCACATTCACACAATGTGTTCCCCATCAACATTTGAATTATGGGCACAGGCCCTGAAATGTTAGTTTTGTGCTAAGATAAATATTGGAATAATATTCACTCTGCTTTTTTTTTTGAAGTCGTCAACATCACAGTTTGTGATTGAAGAGCTAAGGCACCATTTGCTTTTGTAAATAACAAGAGGATAACCAAGCAATCCTCTTGGGGGAAACACCAAAATGGTCTCCTGAAACACTTTTGCCGCTTTGTCGTTGCTTTATCTGTAAACAGGACACCAGGCATAGCTTCTCTATAGGCAGTGAGCAAATACCCTAAATGTCCAAGCCTAGCCAGACAAGTATGATGTTGTCCACTGTGTGTCCAGCAACTGCCACTAGTAGCCCCAATATGGTATAACTGAAGCCCCAGCACTATCACCAAACCCAGCACAGGTTTCCTGGTGATTGCATAAAGATCTAGAATAAAAATGGAAGGCAAAAAAAGAAAGGAATAAAGGGTTTACTAGTAACCTGGGAATAAATCCCCTCTTCCTTTCCATTTGGAGAACTTTGGCTGTAAAAGTCTTGGTCTTCCCCTTCACACACCTGCATGCATCCCTCACAGGTGGCTTCCCCAAAACCTGCCTCATAGGGCAGGCTGACAGAAGCAAGAACCACTGGGGAACATCTCAGAAACAACACATTCTATCCTGCCACGCAGGATCCCTATGATGGCTATGATCCAGGGTGCTATGGGCCGAGCCTGAAGATGGTCCTTCACCTCCTCCCTACTCCCTTTCTCCTCCATAGATTAGAGCATCAACACAGAGTACAATCCAGGGCTCTCAGTCAGCAGCCCATCCCTGCTATGGTCATTCTGATCACCTGGTCTTTTGGAAAAACTACAAATGCTGCCACTGTTCAGTCAGGCAGCTTCCCCCTTGCAGGTGGATGGTTCAAACAGGCAGTGCTTGGCTAAATCCTCACTCCTGGATTAACTGTCTCTGCAGTCACAAACCAAGTCTGTGAGGGAATTAGAGCAGGAGGATCCCCAGTTTACTTATGTGGAAAGTGAGGCTCAGAGGGCCTTATCCATGATTGGGTGGCTGGTGACAGAAGCCTCCTCATGAATCCCTCCAGAGTCTGGGTCTCTAAATTGCAACACTGGAGCCATCCCTCTGTGCTCTGGGAAGTCTGAAAAACTGGATCCAGAACCTGTCATGGCAGCATATCATATAGTTTCTCAGGAACTCAGTCTCCTCAACTGTAAAATAAGGGGGTTATCCTAATTACCAGTATGACTGCTACTACATTTAAACTGTTAGCATTTTGAGGTTCCTTCTAGCTTAGCTTTGGGTCCTACCCTGATCATCCTTTTAAAATACAAAGTCCACTGTTCAACTGAAAGCTACATGCCACAGCCAGGGAGACCTGCTGCCCTGGCCCCCTTCCGCTCACAGCCCCTCAGAGTGCCAGCCTGATGGCCTGTGCTCCCTAAAATTCAACCAAAAAGATGCTGCAGTATGTGAGGCTGGTGGCTCCTCTCCACACAGCTGAGCATAGTACTTACTTCCCTGAAGGAAAAATGTGACGCCATTGGATCTGACTTGCAGAGTATTGGGTTATGATAATTTGAGCTCCATTCAATTATTCCCATTAAATGCACAAGCAGAGTAGCTGATGGGCTGGATTCCCGTTAAGGAAAATAAGTGGATTTCTATTTCAAACTGGAAGTCACCTCTAACCAACAAATCCAAACGAATGAAGTAACTTTAGACCTTTTTCTCTTTGGCCCACGATTTGCTCAGAGGAGAAGTATGCCTGGTTCACCAGAATGCTGAGCCCTTTCTGGTGATCTGCTCAGCTTAAATTCAACTAATTAAATTAAGTCACCACGAACTCACTCCTAACTGGGCAAGAGGGGGCCCATAAATTATGCTGCCCTGAGCTCCCCACAAATTGTCTCTCCCCAAAGAGACCTTTGCCATTTGAGAAAATGCATCCAAAGGCAGCACAAGGCAGCAAGGGCCTGGTAATTGGTCCTCCCTCAGCCCACCAGTGGAGAGATAATGAGCAGCCAAAGCTTGGGGAAGCTCAGCAAAGAGGATAGAAAGAGCTTGGGCTCCAGAACTCAGGCCAATGGCCTGCTGGCCTTGCCTCTGTGAACACATCATGCCACAGTAGCTGCAGGGCAAAGGGGGAATTAGAGCCTTCTGGGTGTGGCCTCATTGCTCCATCTTGAACATACTTCTCATGGCCCACAAGCCACAAAAGTAGGTGGCAACCCAGACAAGGGCAGCCAACAGGTCTTGTAGATGCTTCTCTATACCTACCTTGCTCCACAGGACTGTACAGTGCACAGACTCAGGGGTGCCACGTGTGAATAATGGTCCTGCAGCTGTGCAACAGGAGGGCCCTGCACTCTGAGCCCCAAATCGGTGGCTCCAACATTGCTCAACAACTCTCACAACTTTCTGCAAAACTAACCAGGCAGGACTTCCTGGAGAAAGAAGAGAAACAGGAATGACCCTTGGAAATTCCATAGTTAGCTAGAGGGACCTACTTTGCTCAGCTCTCGACAGACAGTCCTTCCAAAGTACCCAAGGGAACAGAGCAGGAGGGGATGCTCCAGATAATGTCTCTGCCTCTCTGTATTCCCAGCAGAAGTTACTATTTTTCTGCCAAAGCAAAGGAAAAAACTCTCCATCATTTTAGCAATGGGAGCGGCCCCCATTATGTGCAGGGAAATCCCCCGGGTGTGTCAGGGGGAAGATCAGCAAGAACCATGCAGCCGGGAAAGTAAAAATGCAGGCAAGTCTGGGATGGGAAGTTTGCAGAGAGCTAATCCCCCTGCACCAAGGGACTGATTTTAACAAGGCAGGCTGTTTGCGAGGCAGTGCGGGTTGACTCACATGTGCTGTTGTGGCAGGCTCTTCAGCTTTGTTCTGCATTCAGAATTTTCTCATTTCAGGCTTTGTTACCCAAAAATGGCTGCACTGCAAAAACCAGCTCCATTTTAGACAACTCCTCAACTTAAGGGACATTTTCTAAATGTCATTTCTCTGTAGCATGCTGCCACTCAAAACAGCAAGGTGGAGAGGGTGGTTTCAGGTTCACTCCCCATCCACATCTGCTTCTGCTCCCTGCTGAGCTGGAAAGCACCCTAGGGAGAAGCTGAGTGCCTGGGATGAGGAACAACCTGGGTAATTGGGCTCTATAGGTAGGAAAACCCAAAGGCCACAGAGAAGCCAGGGCAGGTCCTTCCCCACGATGCTCTCCAGCACTGCTCTCCCAGGATTTGGACAATAGCTATAATAGCAGATATTATTGAGCACCATGTACCAGGCATTGTGCCAGGCACTTTACATGCATCATTTCACTTAATCCTCACAGCAACCCTGTGAGGTGGGCACCATTATCCCCTCTTACAGACAAAGAAACTGAGGCTTAGAGAAGCTCAGGCAGTTGGCCAGGGGCCCACAGCTGACCACTGATGGAGCTGGGTTTCCAGCATAGCACTGACTCCCAAACACTGTTCCTAAGCTCACCCACCTCTCAAGCATACTTCTGTTCCACCCTGTGACCAGGCTTTAGGAGATGATGGGTACAGGATGCTGGCCTAGGAAAAGCTGGTGAAGTCAGAGAAAGAAACTCAGGCTGCTGTCTCTCTACTTTCCTGGTGAGCCAGTCCCAGCATGTCACAGCAGGGCCAATCTCCATGTGCTTCTGGTCCTAAGCTGGGGAACAGTGTGAGACCCTCCGTGGAGCCTGAGGGGTAGAATCTGGCTCATTGCTAGAGTAGCCAGGCCATTAGAAAGCTGTTCCATCAGAACCTCCCCCACCATATCAATCAGAACACTGGAAGCAGCCGGCTGGGCCACTTTCTGAGTCACAAAGGGGTGTGGGTGACTCAAGGAAGCCAAGCTGAAAATTGACCTTTTCCTGAGGTCACTGCCAACACAGCCCTGCTCACGTGGCAGGCATGGGCCACTGGCTAAACCCACATAAAGGGGACCAGGCAACTGGGCAAGCACATGTCACAACCAGTGTTGGAAAATCTACCAGTTCCCCCAGCAAGGGGGTCCAGCAGCATCCTGGCAAAGCCAACTCCATGAGAGAGCCCAAACCCAAGCAGAGCACTCGCTCTGAGTGCTCTCATTCCCCAGCACACAGGGACGAGACAGTCATACCTTTCCCCACCAGCACCATTTCTCTCAATGGCTCTAGGTAAACACACACTGATGAGTACTCTCGGAAATCTGAATATCAGAGATGGAAACCCAGAATTGTAAGCGATCAGACTTTAATTTTGTCAGGCATCACACCCAGGCCTGAGCGTGGCTCTCAGGGTGTGGCCACCATCAGCCAAAACAGCCACATCTGCTTGCATTTCATCACCAACATGGTAAAGTTTGACTTTCAGCTGACCTTGAAATTCACAAACTCCAACAGGGGAGGGGCTGGAAATGGGGGATAGGAGCCAAGTGAAAGCCGCTAAAAGGAAGCAGAAATAAAACAAGCTGGAGCTGCCCTGTGCCCCCCAAAATTAAAACCAAATGAACATATCAAAGGGTACTTTTCCCAGCTATTTGGGCTCCAACACTCCTCAGCTTTAATCAAGTCCCTGGGAGAGAAAGCCTCAAGTGCCTATAATTTCTTACCTGCCTTCACCTGCACAGCTTGGGCTGAATCTGGGAGTTATTTGGGGCTGGCTTTCCCCAAAGGTACGAGCCTCTCTGCCTGCCCTCTCCCAGGCCAGCCCTGGCTCACTCTATCCTGACAGGGCATCTGGGACCTGAGCCCCCTCAGCAGAAGTGGAAAAGATAATAAACGATGCACCTTTTCTTCATAGAGTTGCACACATTAATATACATGTGCACAGCTTTTCACTTTACAAAGATTCTTCATTTCCACCTCACAAAAGCCCTAAGGGGTAAACTGTTGAGGACCCTGCTCAGAGAGGAGAGGCAGTCTCCCCAAGGCCACAGAGCTGGCAGGAGAGTCAGATCTGTGTGGCTCATCGGGCTGTGTGATCCATGGTTCCACTATGCCTCTGGAGGCCTTGCCAGCTCTGGCATGCACACATCAGTTCCGGGACTTCATGGTGTTTGCTCCTGGGAACTCTCCCCCAGAGAAATTATGGCACCTGTGCTCTAGAGCGAGCCTCAGAGCCCCAGAGCAGAGGGAAGGCAGGTGAAGAGAGGAAGTTGAAACAAGCAGGCGGCATCATGGAAGGGCAAGGGCCATGCTCCCCCAGCCTCAGCTACAGAAAACGCCGCCAGCACTTTCCAAGGGCTTTCTGCAGACCCTGTGCTTTCCACCTTCATCTCATTCAGTCCCCACAATCCTCCAAGATGAGAGCTGCCGGTGGAACATCCCCAATCCAAAAATCTGAAATCCAAAATGTTTCAAAATTCAAAACCTTTTGAGCATTGACATGACATCACAAATGGAAAACTCTACACCAGACCTCATGTGATGGGCCACAGTCAAAACATAGTTACATTAAATATATTGTATAAAATTATCTTCAGGCTATGTGTATAAAGGTATGAAACACAAATGAATTTCATGTTTAAATTTGGGTCCTATTCCTAAGGTATCTCATTATACATTTTAGATGAGAGATACTCCACCTATGTTATACAGGGGACCCTTGACTTATGAACTCGATCAGTTCCTGAGGGCTGATTGTAACTAAGTCAATACAGCTGAGAGCTGGATGTTTACTTGGGTACATGCTATAGATAACAAGAGGCAGACGAATCTTCCATTAACCTAATTAACCCAAGTCGTTCATACGTCAAGCCAGTCATAACTTGAGGGTCCACTGGCAATTCTAATTTTACAGATCCATTCCTTATCCATTCAACAAATACAATTGCTTAAATGTGTTAGACACTCAATGAGAAAACTGGAGCTTGGAAAAAAAATAGTAACTTATCCAAGGCCCTACTTCAAATTAGGGTATAACCACAAGTACACCAATGTCATTTGGGGGTGACTCCACCAACATATTCCATCTTTCCTTTCTAGGCTGGCCATCCCTCACCCCAAAGGCTACCTTCATGTCCTCTCTGTCCAGCCATGGTGCTGGGGATTGAAACCAGGGTCTCATGCACGGCAAACCAGTGCTCCACTACTGAGATGCATCCTTAGCTCTTTTTTAATTTTATTTTCTATTTGAGACAGGTTTCACTAAGTTGTCCAGGTTGGCCTCAAACTTGCAATCCTTCTGCCTCCACTTCCTCAGTAAAGGCTGCCTTTTAACAGTATGCTCTAAGGAGCATGGACTGCCTCTACAAGAAACCCTGGGTAAATGTTCATGGGTTCTTTGGCCTCACAATTCGCTGCATGTGAGCTGGTGGTGGGATCAGTTATCCTGCCAGAAGTGCGTAGGGGCCTCTGTCAGATTTGCTTCATGTATGACTGGAAGCCCTGATGCAGAGTCCCTGAAAGGCATGCCAAGGCAGGGGCTGGTGGCTCCAAGGGCCAGCTTAGGGCCCCATAAGTGGGCAAGCCCAGCACAGAACAGCATCTCCACAGGCCCAGGCCCACACACTGTGGGTCCTCATACCTGCTCTCTGGATCTTCTCCCCATCAGGCAGCCTTGAACTATGAGTCACATGGGGCACTTTAAATCCCCTTCATAGAAGAGTCAACACCCAGAATCACCAAGTGATGAGGATGCCCAAGCTTAGCCAGACCTTCAAGTTTATAAAGACCTAACCCATTAGCCCAGACCTCTGCCATCCCCAACAAGCAGCCCTACCTGGTTGAGAAACATGGGCTTTGAGGCCAGACTGCCTGCATTTAAATCCTGCTCTGACCTTGATCCCTCTGGGAGTCCACATCTGTAAAGTAGGATGTCGACAGAGAGGTAGATTGGGCTGGCTAAGCAGGCAGTCTCGGGAAGAGCAGCTGCAGATGCTAGGCTATGACAGGCAAGGAAGAAAAACAGGACCCTTACTCTTAGGTAGGAATTTGGGGCTAAGCATGTGAAACTTCCAAATAAGACACAGAACCCAGAACATACTTGGTGCCCCATCAGCTTTGGTAGTGACTAAGAGACACCTCAAGGGGTAAGAACAACACTAGGACAAAGAAGTAGGAATAGCAAATAAATATATGAAAAAATGTTCAACATCACAGGTCATTCAAGAGATATAAATGAAAACAACCCTGAGATTCCACCTCACTCCAGAAAGAATAGCTGCTATCATGAAATCAACCAACATGCTGGAGGGGCTGTGGGGAAAGAGGAACCCTGCTCCACTGCTGGTGGGAGTGTTGACTGGTGCAACCACCATGGAAATCAGTATAGAGATACCTCAAAGAACTAGGACTAGAGGTCCCTTTTGACCCAGCTATTCCCTTGCTGGGCATACTCCCAAAAGAATTAAAAGAATCATACCACAGTGATGTATGTGCACCCATGTTCATAGCAGCACAGTTTGTAATAGCTAAAACTTGGAAGCAGCCCAAATGCCCATCAACTGG